TTACAATTTCTGAATCATTAGCCGTCATCAGCCAGTCATACTCAGCCCCAAGTGGCGGTCCGCGCGGGGCCTGAACCCGGGACCTTTTGATAAGAAGTCTAATTCTCTACCCATTAAGCCACGAGTCGGTTTAGATCGGGCGATATTGATATTCGTTGATGAACGTTCGCCAATCGCTAACAGAAGTCACTCGCACCACTACCTTGGAGTAGCAATGTTGTCTGCTCGATCTGTTAGCCGCTGGGCGGCTGCTGGCGGAGCTCGTGAATGAGCCCCAGGGCACAGCAGGACGGGTGAGCCCGGTTAGCGATCGCTGGACCTTCATCAATAGTTATTTAGGGGGTTTTGGCAGATTTGCTTAATTTGGTTGACCGAACTGTGAAAAAAAACTCGCCTAGTAGTCATTCTGGTGGAGTCTAGAAGATTGCTTAGGAAATCCTACTTGGGCAGTCAGTTTGCTGTCCCGTCTCGGTGGATTCCATACGAGTGGTAAAGTTCGGTGGATAAAATTGATCCAAGTGTGATTAAATTCACGGCGCAAGGCGTGGCGTTTTTAGATCAAGTGGTAGAGCGTTGGCTGCGTAAAGGTCTTCCCTGCTATACGGGTTCGACACCAGCCAAACGCCGCGAGTTTTTTTCACAATTGGGTCAAGTAAATTCATCAATAACACATGCATAATCTTCCTCTTATTATCTGATGTGATACCGGTGCTGGCCTGTACCGTACACCAGTTGCTATTGCTGTTTCTGTCCCTCTTACAGGTCTGGCCTCTTACCTGCGGCAGTGCTTGCCGCGATATCTACGTGGAACTGCCTGCCAAACAGCCTCCCGCGTGTCCACCCATAGCACTGACTCCATTCGTGGCTGGTCAGAAGGAGGACTCCATGGCAGCAGCCTGTCGCATTAACGCACCCTCGTCACCGGACGCTGAAGATCTGGCCAATCAAGCAAAGATCAATCATTTGTTTGAGTAAGTGGCGGTGTCATCTTTTTTTTTCTCTTTCTCTCTCTCTCTCTCTCTCTCTCTCTCTCTATTCCTACAGACTCTAAACTGCTCTGCCGTGTTGGCAAAAAGGAACACTTTTTAGTCGTTGGTCCTCAGTTGCAGGTTCACAGACTCCACAGACACGTGGACTTAATGTGGGGGTATTTTAAACGTTCCCGGGATCAATATGCTTCACTCCGCTCTCGTCAACTCCTGTAAAGCGAAGCTTACTAGGCCCTACAGGTGGCAGTTCTATTTTCTGCATCATCGAAATCTGCACTGCTTGTTGCTCTAACGCCTTAAAGTGAGTTTAAGAGGGGTTTGTCTAATGTATGGACTACCCGAAGCGGTGTTTGGTCCACTCCAACACTTCGTTTTGTAGAGCTTCCTCATACTGTTCTGCGCGTTCAAGTAGTGGGTTTTCAAAAATACTTTTAATTCACGGATGGTGCATCACATAGGGTATTTGGGTGATGAAGTAGATATATAATTTGTATCCAGTCCACATGCAGTATTCCTAAGTTTTGCAAAATGATCTCCGATCAAACTGTCACCTTGTGTTTTATGGTTTACTGTTATTTATAAGTAACTAACACGGCTTTCTACTGAAACCCTGTCGTTTTCTTCCCTTTCAGTCAACTTTGCGCCCTGTCAACTTTGAAACGACGTTGAGACGTACAGTGAGACGTCAAGTGGGGAGATATTGTGATATGTTTGTAGTCCGCCTATTTTATATTCAAATTTTATATAAAAAAACATATTTTCCCTGCGCCTCTATTTTCGTCAACTATTCTACAATGTTCGACTATGATGTATTGGTCTTTGTTCTCTCCGTCAGCAGAAGCCCTTTGTTAGGTTGATAATACCTCCTCTAGGCAAAATAGCACATTATTCATTTAGGAGACCGAACGGGAATGCATATTTTACTTGTAGAAATTCCCATCACGTTGTTTCAAATGGTTTTCTGAGATGCTCCTCAATACATCCGTTGAGACTTAACACGATATAATACTGCCTTTTTTTGTGATTCTTCTAACTGTTTGACCATGAAGAGATACTGCAATTGCTCTGAAGGCGGTCCACCGCCAAGTATTGGCTAGTTTATCTGTTTGTCCTCTAGGTCTGCAGTTATTGAAATTACATTTCGACTCCGGAACAGTTATTTTATTGTGTTCTCTTAAAGTTTTACGTGTAGAGATCGTTTTTTATTCCCCTCTCTGGCAGGGCAGGGGAATAGGGACTCCTCCTAATAAAGGCGAATCTGGGCTGCATTCTAGAGATATAAGGGTTAAGGTTAGAGCACGGGAGCAGAAACCCTTCCTGAAATTTAGCACAATGCCAGTTTTATTACGTGTGGGGGGGGAGGGCCTTCCTATCCTCTGTCCTTCCAAGGATGTGGTCACCTAACTGATTCCGACTGTTTCACGTATACAGAGAGATTGTGTGCTGGTGGCGCCCTCCTCTATTCCTGCACGTTGAGATTGCGTCTGGCATGATCCAGCTTGCTTCGTTTGTGATTTTTTAACAGTTTAACTGTAACGAGTTACTGCGAATGCTGTAAAGGCAGTGGGCACAAATCACATGCGTTTTAAGTCGAACGTCAAGTATTGGCTGGTTACGCTGTTGGCCCTGTAGGACTAAAATTATGGGAATGCACCTCTCGCATCCGGAACGCTTACTGCCCTTTCAACTTTCACGGGTAGAGATAGTTTTTGCGCCCTCCTTCGTGAGAACAGGGAAACAGAGACCGGTGCTACATTCTAGAGGGCTTAGGGTTAAGTTAGGGCATTTGGCTCCTATCCCATCAACAGGCATGTTTATATACCTGTCTGCTATCACGGTTTTCCTTCGCGCGGCCCACTTTCTACTTAAGGGGACACATCGTGAATACGTGAATGTGGAACTCAACCCATCACGGATTCTACCCCATAGTCCCACCCCCATTTCCTTCTCGTAGCTAGAATACAAGATGTCAATTATCGTTGCATGCTAATTGTCTCTGAAGATGGCCTCTTGTACGAAGCCGAAAGCTCGCGCATTCATTTTCTTTGCAATAGGTGCTTTCCCTGAAATTTACCACAATGCCAATTTTATTCCGGAGCGAGCGTTCTTATACTCTGTCCTCGCACGTATGTGGCCATACAACCGATTCCGAATGCTTCACATGCATACAAAGAGCTTGCATACTAGTGGCGCCTTCCCCCCTATTCCTTCACTTTGAGGTTGGTTCTGTCCGTACATCTGCGGGACTTGGTTGCGTACCCCCACAACACCGGTAAATAGTTCGCCACAGAACTTGCTTACTTGTACTTGATACGTCCTGAGATAACCGGATGTCATGGACAGTACCTCTCCACGCGTGACGATTGGCGACAGCGAATCTGACAATCTCAACCCAATCTCTTCTCCAGCGATGGCGACCGAAGATCCAAGAACTGCTTCCATGTCTTGACGAACGGTGTCGAACCCCATTCGCGAAATTCCCTACCAGGCCTATCCTCAGCTTTCTGAGTGTTGCGCTCATATAAACGTTGGTAAGGTCGGGCAGGACCCTGCGGTTGAAGACAGCGGTTTGAGCCTGCTTACCCGCCCTCCCTCC